TTAAATCACATCATGCTCTGCATGTGAATCATACCTGTCTTATCTGTGCCTTAGAAGACACCTGCTATTGAAGACTGAAATAGAGGTGTCTTCTCGTTCTACCACTGTTTACCTCACTGCCACTCAAGAAACCTCTATCTATGGTTTGTTCCACCTATCTATCAACGATGACAATAGATCTATTTCATGTACTCTAATCGATCAATAAATCTGTATTACAGTTGCTAATTAGCTGGAGTCGGCTATATGAATCATCAGTATTCATCCATCCAACTTTATTTAGCATATTTAGGGTGTTTGTATTGGCTTTTAAAAAGTGACTTATAAGTTAAAAGTCAAAAGTCATAAGTTGGGACACCCAACTTGTGACTTTTTTTTTTGTACCTTTTCAGTTTGAAAGTGCTTAAAAACACTTTTTGTGTTATCCAAACACTTCCAAAACCAAAAAACAATTCAAAAGCCAAAAGTCACTAAAAATAAGTCACTCCAAACACCCACTTAATATGAAACTAAATATTTGTATTTTAAGGCAGTTTGGGTTCTCTAAAATTAGAATTCTCGAAATCTCACACTTGCCCCTACTCAAACATACAGTTTAAACCAGAATAAAAAGATTCTTGGCAGACATATGGTCGAATGCAAAGCTGGAGACTCGTAGTGGATAATCAATGATATTTTCACCTCTTATAATTTTCCCCAAGTTCTTCCTAAAAAGGATGTATAACCAGAAATTCCAATGCAATTGTCATCAACCTTTTTGATGTTAATTAGTAATGATGGTGTATCACATCTCATTCTAGAGCCTATTATCTCATTAGCAAGTATACTTGCATCCAGAGTTACTCTCCTTCACAAAAGAGCATTCTGATTGCTAGATGTGAGCTTATATCCATTACCGACCTCAATTTTACCGACAACAGCTCTGCCACAATCTTCTACATCCCTACCAGAGTTCTAAGTTGAAAATCTTTACCATACACCCCCCCCTCCCCTCCCCTCCCTGGAATCATGATTATATGAGTAACTAAAGCTTCTATCTCTCCAAGGGTGACAGATTTTGAAAGATTCTTTTATGAAGAATAGTACTTGTGAGGGTGCTAGATTCAAGATGAAAAAATATCTAATCGTCCCCACTCTATCTAATTTGGTGAAGAACTCTGATGATCTCGGGAAAACCACTAACTTTCAAGGTGAACACATAAAATAACTACAACATATGTGGTAGAGCAATTAAAACAAGGGCGTCCTCTCACAGTCTTTATCTAATGGATCTTTCCATTCTTATACTCTTTTTGAGGGTTAACGATATTTATCAGATCTGTTCCTATCTAACGGAGTTCTATGGAATCAAATGACGAAGATATTGTTAAGAAAAAATGGATATTAAGGAGGAATGAAAATAGGATTCATGTAAAAAAGGATTCCCCATTCCGTACCCGGAAGGATATGTGGCCATGAAAGAGGGAATACGGATCCATATTGGTGGAAGTGATCCTTACACTTCATTGCATCATTGTTTACCATGTCCCAATCATATTTGGAAAATGTATAACTGAGACTATTTGGTCGAAGTGCTTAATCACCCAGGCAATCTCTACACCATGTTAGATATCATTATTAGAACTCAAAGTTTTTTCTCAAAATACTCAAAAGACTTAAAAAAAAAAGTGTTTTTTAAAATTCTCCCTTCAAGCTCTTCTCTTCAAAGCTAATACTTTGCAATTCAACACCTCCATTCCTAGCCTCAACACTTCCTTTTCCTTATATAATGTCTGTATGTAAATATCGTAGAATCTTTTCCCTAACTTGATTATCCTCATGAACACCTGTCCATTTATTTTATTTTATATATTTTCAAGGAAGCTATATCTTTTAATGAGTACTGGGTGTGCAAGAGAAGAACTTGATATTGTTATCTCACTTTTCAACCAATTTACGTTGGAACTTTTTCAAGCAACATCATTCCTAGGCTCTTTGATCTCTTTTTTTGGTTGTTGAGCAGGCAACATATGCAGTATAAACAAAAGAACTACTCCAAGAAAGTAGTCCAGTAATAATTACAAGTAGTAGTCAAAATGAGGGTATTCATTAATACACCAATAGTAAAAAATGCTAAACAATTCATCTTTATCTTTGGGAAAGGATTGCTCTTGTCTTCAAAGCATCTCTGTTTTCTCTCCTTCCAGATTGTCCACCATATGCAAGCTGGGACAATTTTTTATCTCTCCGTGTCCTGACAGATTACCATTTCTGTTCTAGCAAAGCTAAAACTTCCTGTGTACTCCTTGGCATAGTCCACTTGATTCCCCTCAAGTTGATGACGATCTACCATAATTGATCCGTCACTTTACAGTGTAAAATGAGATTGTTTACTGTCTCTGCTTCTGCTTCCTCACCACACCAACAATATCTGGAACAGAAGACCCCTTTCAATAAGCGTATCTTGAGTTAAGACAACTTGTCTTGCCAATAACAACGTGAAGCATGCTACCTTGTGTGGGATTTTGACTTTCGATATCATCTTCAAGGCCAACACCCGCCTTGTGAATAGGTGCTCTGGAAACAGTTATAAACAGATTTAACAGAGAATCCTCCCAGCTAGTCTTTCATCTAATTAAGCTGTCTTCATTTGTGGTGAGATCTTGGACCTGTTCCTGAGTCTTGTAGAATTCTGTCAATCTATCAACTTCCCAATCGTTAAGTTATAATTTGATGGTAACTACTCTTCAAATTAATTTTTGAAAAGACTTTAGAACCATGCCATTAATGATGGATCTAACATATTATAAGACGAAGAATGAGATGATGATACTTCACCATTATTTTATTCATGGCACGACCGTCACCATACATCCTCCAAGTTCCGTCCTTTGCATCAATTGGACTAATACATAATATGTAATATGTACTCGTGTTCATTTTTTTTCCAAACTTTTTTCAAAAAGCTCCTCAACTTGTCTTTGCAGTTCCTTTGTTTCTCAGGATTGCTCCTATGGGTAGAGGCCTATTTGGAATTTGAGATACTGTCACAAAGTCAATTTGACGTTCTATTCCTCTTAAAGGTGGTAAATCCTTAGGAAATACATTTTCAAAATCATACAAAAGATTGGAAATAGAAGTAGGTAAAGAAAGAAGTTAGTTCCTTAGAATTAAACAATCTCTACATGTAAGGAGTATTTGTACTACCCTCTTTTCTTGCACTCAAATCATTTTTGATTATTATATATAGATTTTTTATTTTTTGGTTCCTATATTTTTGCCTAAGCCCCTTGTTTCGTTTCTCTCTTGTTGCTGCCTCTTTCCTGGCTGTTTTTATTTTTTCTCGGCCATCTTTCTTTTCTTTTTTCCTTTCATCAAACTCACCTTTTATCTCTCCCGCTTGTTTTCTCACTGTTCCCTTCCATCTTGTTGATCTCGACAAACTTGGGATGGAATTAAAGTAGCTGGTGTATATTTCTCTGTAAATTGATGGGTTTTGAACAAATTAGAGGACTTTATGTTTGTTGTTTTCTGGTGTTGCGTTTTTAGAATGTTTAAAAGATAGGTTCCCAAGTGTGTCGTTCCCTTTATGCTTAAAAACTATTTATGCTTTCTATGTTGCTAAACTATTTGTAAAAGAAGTTAAATTGCATGGTACACCTCGAACTATTGCTAGTGATAGGGATGGGAAGTTGTTGAGCCACTTTTGATGTGTATTTTGGTGGTAATTGGCCACTAAGTTATTTTCTACTCCCTCCGTCCCATATTAGTTGTCCACCTTACTACAAATAGTTGTCCCAAATTACTGAAGTGGACAACTAATATGGGATGGATGGAGTACTTCTTATCATGCACAATATGCATGCTCCATTAAGCACATATCAGTGATATCACACAAACATATATGCCACACATTACACAGAGATTGCGTGGTTGAGTTTGTTTGATCTGATTGCATATATTTGACCTTTTCCCCTACATTTAAAGAGAGTTTTTGTTAATTTTATTTAATAATAGCAACTATATCACCATACAATGTGATTCACCATGTGGTGTTCAACAATAAAGTGCAACTTTGATTATGTGTGGATCCACAGGTAATTTATTTGTTTTGAATGAATCCCCCATTAAACCTAACCTGCGACCCACCAAACTAAAACCCAAACCAAATACGTAAGTGTATATGTTAAAGGCTTTAGATAAAGTTGCTTGAAAGGGATTTGAGATGGAACAAACTGGACAATTTTGTCCTTCTGCTAGAGATTCATTTTTAAGTGTGGCTATCTTTTGTTTCACCACTTGTGACAATTTTTCTGTGTTGATAAAGTAAGAGACTATAATTTGCTCATTTGCAATTTTAGTCGAGTCCACACTAGTTTCTCAATGTCTTTTGATTTATTTTATGCATCTCCAGTTTGCTCACTCATTGGGAAAGAAAATTGAGTAGGTTTTGATTTTTGGGTATTTATGAGATTGTTGCTTTACTGAGTAAAACATGAGCGTTTTTACTGTTGTAAACAACGAAGAGCGCTTGCTTTTTCCATCTTTGTGATATCTGTTGTCATTCTTGGTTTGGGTAACTCCCGTTTGTGAAGCATCATTTATGAGTCTTCATCAAGTAATGCAGAAGGGGCATTTGTTGGGGGTATTTTCTGTTGCTTATATCAGAACAAATGATATCATAATACATGTGTGATGTGTCCTTAGGAAGCAAAGTGTGCAGGATATGATGGTGGAAATACAACTATTACCTGCCATTGTTTAGAGGGCTAGGCAACTACTACTTTTTTTTCCCAGTTGTGTACTGTAGCCGCTTTTCTTTTATGGAAGTCTTTTTTGGGGATGATGAGGGGCAGACTCTGGTTGCTTATATCATCTCAGTAGAAATGGAGCAAAATGTTAAATTGTACTCGCATGTTTTAGCATCCTTTTCAAGTTTCTTCTGCCTATGGGCACGCCATAATTTTCACGCCTGGAACTTTATATCCTACAATACACTAATTATAATTTGTTTTATGCAGTGTATTTTTGTGCTATGCATATGCAAGCCGTCAGTACCTTGCAGTTTGGTAGCAGACATTCAACTGGACCTGCTGTTCTAATCTCCATGATATTTTTTTTTCATTTGAAGTACTCCCATGTCCATAGCTCTGACTGGACTGTTAGCAAATCACATTATTTTTCATTAGTTTTGATTTTTTCTGTGTCATGGTGGTTTGATCTTGTAATTCTGGCTTAACTGGGAAGAAAACTGAAAAAAAGGTTATTATTAGATCGTCAAGCCAACTTCAGTGGATTATGTCTTCAAAGTCATGATGTTTGGATGAATGGACACTTGAAACCTCAAGTTACTTTTTATGTTGTTGCATGCTAGAGAGTTGTCCATTTGCAGCAAACATAGGTATATTTTGTAGTCTATCTTGAAAGAGGAACCTAAGTTAGGTTGCTTAACTGGAAATGACGAAAATACAAAAGAGGAAGAGGAAAACGTTTGATGGTAATAGATATAGAAGCACCTGAGAAATAAATATACATACAACAAGGAATGCCCAAGTACACACTACATTTGGCTTCCTTGGAGTTAAATTACTAGGAGATGCTTCTACATTGCACCTCCTCTATATCAACACGATTTGACAATTGAATATAACATTACTGTGGCTTTCTTATGCTTGTGCCTTTAATTAATGTGTTGGGGCAACCATGGCTCTGTTGAATTTGTTATTCATGAACGTTGGTTTTCACGTTTCTGTTTCCTCCACTCCCATGGCATTTCAGGATTTCTGGCTGCCCACAAGCCAATTCGTTTTGCTCGAGCTTCTTTTTCCCACTAAACCATAGAGAAAAATATTATATTAAGAAACATTGTGTTGGTAACTCTATGGCGACATAAAAATGCAGATTACCTTATCTAACTCTGGACGCTTGTCATACGCGGTATAGTGCCAGGCCAATCCCTTCTTTAACATCACTTCCTACTTGAGAAGCCAACTTAGAACTGGAAAGAGCCTAAATTGAATAACTGGGAGAAGAAAGAATGGTATTGATTGATTTCAATACCTGTGCAAATATGCCATTGCAGTATATATCCCCTACACAGCGGCCATAACGATCTTCATCAAAAACTAAGACCCTTAAACTCTTACCCTGGAGAACTTTAGTCAGTTCTTCCTTGGCCTCTTGACCATATGGCATTGCACTTTCTGGTGCATCTATCCCCCTGATTTCTTCTTCATTCGTTATTTACCAATTTGACATATATCGCAGAATTATATATAGAAAAAAATAAATATCCAAGTGTCTTAATACCTTAATCTGATCCTATATTTTCGCGCAAGAACTTCCTCATGGTTCACTGGTATTGACCTGTGACAGAATCTCAATGAATAAAAGTTAAAAAAGAGACAAAGGTATGGTTTATGCAACTTACCTATATCCTGAATCTATGATCTGTTTGTGCAGTTGATCTGCTTTTGCATAATTTTTCTGAGCCCGTGCCTTTGATCTTTGAATAGCTGCATTTTGCACATCTCTTGGGAGACACGATGCCTCTCTAGGATCTGTTGTACTAACATATACAGTTACTGTATCTCCGTCTGCCACAGCCTTTGCATCCACCTAGCACATACATTCTACGAGTATTAATTACAACACTAATTTGAAGATTCAGAGGCTAAGCAAGTTTCGATATTCTTACAGGGAGAGTATGCAATTCAAACTTGAGTCCTTGTTGGTGTGATGGAGGAGTGCCATCACTAGTTAGTTCTACTAAGGAGTGAGGAAGAGGAAGACCATAGAAAGCCAGTAACCCCTGAAATCAATTTTGCTAGACATTATAACAAGTTGTGAATGTTATGGAAATTTAGCACAAAGTTACAAACCTCAACATCTGCTTTCTGATGTCTCTTCAAGGTCTGAATGACAAGTCTTGAAGTTTCTTCAGGTGTTTTAGGAGGAGGCTTTGTTTCTCTCCACGCATCCGAAAGTTTCTTATACCTTCATTTATCACCAAAAATGTACAATTTAGGAAAATCAAACAGCTATTCTTGAGCTACTACTATTCCCAATTCAATTCTCTTAAGTTTTACCAGTTAGATTGCGCCTTCTTTGATGATACAACATGCTTACTCAGTCCTTGAGGAACCTAAAGGGAAAAAAGAAAGAAATTGAAAAACCCAGATCTTAAAAATTGGTTGAGAAAATCTAATTCTTGGACCTCAATTACCTGGGAGTTGATTTCAAAGTTGTAGAGATCGTGTGCTAAAGCGGAAACGCCGGGATGATGGCTGAGGGAATCAGAGTCTGCTGAAGGTTTGCAGCAATTAACATACAAGAATCTTAGAGCGTTTCCCATTCTCCGGATCTAAATTATTGTTTGATGGTCCAAACAGAGAGGAAAGAGATTATTATTATGTAAAGAGGATTTTGCTTTTAGGTTAGAAGAGAATCTTTTGTTAGATTGAAGCTGCGATCAAATTTAGGAACCAATCAGGAAAAGTATTCTGTTTAAGGATACGTAGTATTTACCCTTCAATATTTATGGGTCAACGCCTCAACGGTCCTTTGCCTTCACAACATTTCGTGTCCTCACGCCTGTATCTGGTCCATTTTTAATTGTATATGCACCTTAATTTCAATGTTACATTATGCATCACGGTGGACATATATTGGTTCAAACGGGTTTAGATGCATCAAAAAAATGTACTCTCAACTTTGTCATTTAAACATGATATATTTTCTTTACGAAAGCTGAAGTGAAAAATTAATTTTTAATAATTTTATAATGGAGGGGTATATTTGATCATTTTTCACATGTTTTTTTTAAACTTTTTAAATTCAACGGCTAATTTGAATTTATTATTTTGATGATCATTTCACTTATTTTCTTGTAAAATTTATTATAGATGCCGCAATTCTTTTTAGAGATATAAAAACTAGATTACAATATAGTTGCAAAAAAGTTAGTTTTTGTTATAAATGCATTATTGTGAATGTCATTCGTAACTCTCTTTGAAGTTCATGTACGAAATAAATGAACACTATTTAATTCATGTAACTTGAAAAGACATTTTCTACTATGAATAGACGATGCTTATTCTATAAAAGAAACAATCGAAAAGTACAAAAGAAAGAAATAATAAGATATATAATTTCCTTTTATTCAGCAAAAACTAAATTATGTTACTCTACCAACCAACATATTAGAAAGCTCAATTAACATTTTTTACACATTTAACTTTATTATTATTATTATTATTATTATTGTTGTTGTTGTTGTTGTTATAGTAGTAGTATGAATGAAGATGAAAAGTTATATGATTTTATTTTGGAGTATATCTATTTGTCAATTTTTAATTAATATTTTATATTATTGTCACGGTTGAAAGATGTAATATTACCATGATATATTTTTCATAGCTATTGCATATTATTGCCCTAAAAATATATGATATGGTTTATCATATTAAAAAGCAGTCACAGAGTAAATAAATAAATAAATTATCTTTTTAGTATTTTTAAAACTTTTTATCAATGAACAAATTATTTAATGAAAAGAATGAACAAAAAATTCTCAGTTTCATATTATAAAAGCTCAAAAGTCAACTTATTATTTTCTCTTAATCACATTAATTATATTCAAACTAAAAAATACTATTTCTTTAACTTCTCTTAATTATTGTAAAAATAAATAAATTAAACTCCCTCATTTAATTCTTCCAATAACATATCTATGTAATATGATCGGATACATATATAAAATATTTTTCTTTATGAATAAGATGTACATATATTATACGGAGTAATAATTTTTTTTGTATAGTTCTACTGTAATAAAAAAATATTTTATAGTTCTACTATAATAAATGTGCATATGTGATTAATGTGTATTTAACTTATAACTATTCAAAGCAAAAATAATTTATCTTAAAATTTTCACATTAAAGAATGAGTTATCTTTTGAATAGTTATTATCATATATTTTAAAAAAAATTGGTGATGACTACAATAATAATTAGCATAACTTTATGAAACTCTTCCATTGCTCTACATGTGTTAGGGACAAATATTGATTCAACTCTTGGTATACCTTTCTATAACTTGACACTTTATGTATTCTCGAAAATTTAATATTTTATCACTCTATGATAATCTTTATATAATCAAAAATATAAGTAACACATCAAATTACTAATGACATCATGACTTCTTATAAAGATACACTTTATTTTTTATGTTATGTTTTTCAATTCTTTTATTTTCTATTGCAAAGTATGATCTCCGATGTACTGTTATATAATCAACTTAATTTCTTTTTCTTGAGATGTTTTTCTCAAAACATATTATATAAAAATGAAAGTTGACATATGTGATCGTTTAATATTAAAGAAATCCAAACAAAAAGAAGAAGATCGCATTAACTTCTTAATTTCATGTATGACTATGTTGAAACATAATTCAAGTATTTTTCTTACTTTTATGCGTCACAAATATATTTTAAATTATTTTTAATACAAATCAAGTGGTTTATACATAAATAAAGTCATGTAATTTATAATGAATTAAATTTAATATTACTTTGATTGAACTAATATTATTGTTATAAAATTCATTAAATTTAATAAGAAACTACGATAATCAATTTACTGAAATTTTGCAGATTAACATTTTATGTTTCTTTTTTCTTTTTATCGGCAACGTTAAGCGAAAATTACTGTTTGAAAATATCTCTCTAGCAATTTTTTGAACAAACAACAATCAAGATCGTAACTCGATTTGTATTTTTTTTCCTTATACACTATTTTTTAAAAATAGTCAATTAAGAATATCAATATTTAAAAAAATATACTTAATTCCGTGCGAAGCGCGGATATGTACACTAGTTAACTTATAATTCTAAATTGAATTCTAAGCAGTATGATAGCATGCTAGTTAAAATACTCGTAAGTATTTTCTTGTCATACATTATGATAAGTATATTTGTGTGTCATAAAGAAGAATATTATTGTATTAAATATGACTTGAATCTTTTACAAAACTTTGACGTTAATATCTATTTAAACTAGTAATAAATATTGTAGAATAATTAAAATTATAGATTAAATCTATCGTTTGAATACTTCATGAGTTTGCATACTTTTAAGATATTCCATGTGCATGCGTATAATATATTTTATAATCATATTATACTTTATATTTGAACATTAATTTACCATTTATTATAAAGAAACCAACATCATAATATTAACTCAATTATTTATGATAGTTTTTATCATGTCGAAT